AATTATAAAAATCACTAGTGGTGGGGAAAGAAAAAAAAAAAAGCTAGTAAGCTTGGAATCTAGGGCAGTAAGTACATCAACATTATTTTAGCTTGAGATAGCTTATCTGATTTTGACTTGGAAGGAGATCAAAGTTGAAAGTGAAGCACTGGTTTATATGAATACTGTGATGATGGCTCATGCCCCACCTGCTCAAGAATAACAAAGTGAAGAGTCTCTATAAAAATAAAAGTAATTTATTTTAAACTTTGTTAAAACTTAGAGGTTTTGACTCAAAGAGCACTATGTGGCAAGGACAAGCGGAGGCTCCTCTGACCTGCGTGTAAGGGCTGTCCACCCTTATATGCACAGATATGCACTCGCTCATATATTTGTTTTAATAACTACAGCAAGATTTTTATGACATCTGTATAAGAATTACCCAGTTAAGTAATAAGGATCAATTTTTACCCTCCATTTGTTTTACAAGTCGAGGTTGGAACATCCTGCCCCAGAAATTCACAGGTGCTTCAGATTTGCCTCTAGACTCATTCTAAACAAAAATACACCAGAACTTCTGGCATTTTAATCCAGATTCCTGAAACAAGCAAAATGCTTAGTTTTAAGTTTTACTTGAAGCACGCTATCTGTATCCAGTTTGTCAAAAATATTTTTTTCTCTGTAAATATTTAGAGACAAGGAGAAACATGTAAAAGAAAACTACAAGTACGCAGTTACTTTTACACCTTTCCATATTTGAAGGAAACTGAAAGAAATTGTGGATTACTTTAGACTGAGGCACCTCCAACCTACTTGAGTGCATTACACAACAGAAAGGGTAACTCTCAAATGTTTCCATTTAAAATCATCCCTATATACTTATAATGAACACATTGGCTGTTTCTTTGTCATATGCTAGACTCAAAAGATAACATGAGGCTTTAAATCATATAGATCTTAATCTACCTTAACCTTTAGCTGCTTAAAAAAGGTTATTCGTACCTGTAATAGGTGATATGTGAGCCAATGACATCACCCATAGGGACTGGGTCCCAAAGTGCACACTTGGACAGAGGGAAACTGAAAGGGACCATCCTTTCGGGAACAAATCTGGGAAGACAATCGCAGAGACAAGAAAGCAAAAGGGATTAAGCTTAGTACTTTCAAACAGCATTTATAAGAAGGAACAAAAGAACAACACTGTAAGAAAAAACACACATAAGCTGTTGGTACTTTTTTTGCTTCATAAGATGTTGGTACTTTTTTTGTTTCAAGTCCAGGCCAATGAAGCAGAAACTTTGTCCTGTGAAGTTGTCAAGGATATGAACTACAAAGTCAACACAAAACGTTCATTTTCAGTTCCTGACAGTTCCTTCATGTAGTGTCGGAAGATGTGTAGGCCAAAGCACAACTCTGCAAATAAGAAAAAGCTGCTCTGGATATACTGCAGGAAAGCAAAAGTCTATCTGTCATTAGAAACTCCCATGGCACACAGAAAATCTTGGTTTAACAAACTTAACTTCACATCAGCTTCCAAAAGCCCTGGTTTAGTCACTTTTTAAAGTCAGCATCCAATCCACTTAAGCTTTGAAGACTTCTGAAATAAAGCCTTGGCTTAACTCAAACACAGTGAATTCAATGCATTTTAACCAATAAACAAGAACTTGCTTGGCACATATTTGCAGGGTCAAACTTTGCCAAGGTGCTTTCTTTGCATTTCCTTAAGTTCAAAGGAAAGAACGAACTCTATTTTTAAGGCGGCTCTAAGCAACCCGCCTACCTCTCAGGTTTCCAGCGGCAGTTAATTATTCTCATTAAAAGCTAAACGCCCACCACAGTAAGCTCTTAATCAAGGCCTGCAAAAGGGGAAACTTATTTAACGCCCCACCGTTTTCACCAGCTTTGGGAGCGGCGCCGGCCCCAC